GCCCACGCTCCTCCCCCCGCCCCTCCTGCCCACGCTCCTGGGCAACCGTCCCGCGGCCCGGGATTGTTCGGCCAGATGGCTTCCACCGCTGCCGGTGTCGCAGTCGGAAGCACGGTATGTATCACCCTTTCGTCGCTCGAAGGCCTAGACGATTGGAAAATCTCACGGCTTTTCGTTCCATGTTCAACAGGTCGGACACGGTCTTTCTGGCATGTTGTTTGGCGGCGGCGGAAGTTCCGCACCCGCACAGGCCGAGGGTCAGGCCCCGCCGCAGCAGTACGCTCAGGACCCTTACGCGCAGCAGCAGCAACAGCAGCAGGCCGTAAGCTGCGAGCCAGATCAGAAGGCCTTCTTGCGCTGTCTCGACCAGAACAACGACATTTCCGCTTGCCAGTTCTACCTCGAGATGCTCAAGCAGTGCCAGGCCGCCGCTGCTCCCCGTGTCTAGTTCCCATGATTGTCTTTCCTGTCACCGCGTATTGAATACATGGATTGTTCCTTTTTGGTTAATGCACGTTATGAGAGAAAAAGAAATGATTTATTTCCTTTGAATTACACAGAATACGCAAGGTGATGAACGGATGGAGAGGAAGTCGCGAATCGACGATGCAGATGGTTGTACGGAATGCTATGCCAAACTGCCAAGCAGAAAAGCAGGAGTGCTGCTGAGCCTCATCACCCGTGGAGCTCGCCGGTCCAAGCACCTTACAGAAAGAACAAGGTGCCATGGGTTAGAAAGCCTCGATCAAGGTAATCTCTCTGCGCTCATCTTTGCCTCACCGTGGAAACCAAAAGGGATGTGCACGGGGAGGTTTGCGCGGCCGATCTCTTCCATGGACGAAGCTTTGAGCATCAATAGGAACGAGGTGTTGGTGCTCGAATTCAGGACGACGCTGAGGAGAACCCCGGCGTCCTCGTCCTCCGAGATCTTGACGGGGCTTGGAACCATGATGGGCTCTCCTGAGAAACGGATCGGCGTTACGTTAACTTTTCTTTTCCCCAGGCAGAAGAAGCACCCTGGTGGATCCTTGTACCAGGGTAACAGCCAGCTTCGCGCCATTCGATCTTCGTCTTGTCTGTCAGATCCGCGAGAACGAGGGCATCCCAGACGACGTTGGTGAGGTTGCGCTTGGCCGGCGTGATGCTCAGTCCCCAAGCGAAACGGTGGGCTTTCATGGCGAAACGAGGGTTGATGCAACTCATTTCCAAGGTGTAGTCGGTGCGGTGCGTGAAGCTCGGCTGTCGCCACCAAGAAAATTCGTCAACGTATGATACTGAGAGGGGGATCGTCTGGGAAATCCATCTCACCTGAGGCAAGTTCTTTTTGCCGACCTTGAACACGGTAGCGGCCTCGGGGATCTTGGAGAGGACGTACCGACGAATGGTGGCAGGCGGCCAGGGATACATTTCCGGCTTTCGGAGTGAATTGAGACGCCAGCTGGAAAGGATCTCCTTGGAGTCGTAGGCGTTGATGTCGATCTCGATCGACTCGCCGTCGTTGCTGTCGTGGGCGTTGAGGACCGTCAAAGCAAAGAGGGGACCCGTGCGGAATACTGCTACTTCCTCACGACGCATTCGGTCCTGAGAGGGAAGGATTGTCAACAACTCTGTTTTTGGATGCACAGAAACTGTACTTACGATCACATGGAAACTAGTGATGCCGGAGGTGTCGAACTGCAGTTCCATGGGAGCAGGCTGTGTGCCGGCCAAGATGGACGGGATGCCAGCGCGCCAGGAGGACGAGAATGGATAGACGATGAGAATGATGTATCGGTTTGTCAACGCAAAGCTGTGTGCGTGAGTGGCGGGAGCATGGATGGAAGCAATCATGATGCCCTGATCCCAAGTAAGCGTTCACACGGCGAAAGAACAAGGACGTCACGGCACTGCTGAAGGCATACCGGAGGAGTGAACTGATCTTTGGGATCGATCTCGAAGAACGTGTAACGAGCGTTACCACCCGGCAGGTAGTCCATCGTGTAGTTGACCAACACATTGCGAGACGCGTCCCAGCAGGGAACGGGGCATGAGACTGATCCCTTGAACTTCGGATTGATATCGGCGTATGTGAAGGCACGCTTTGGAAGCAACGTGACGGGATCAATCTCTTGCAGAACGCTGTCCGATGTGGCAAGCAAAGAGGCGGTTGAGGTTTCCTTTTCACCGGAAAGCGGACCGCTGGTGAAAGGGAAGCCGGGAAGGATGGCTATCAAGAATACAAGAAAAGGTCATGATCCAGTCAGTCCATGGGAAGTCCACACACAAACAATGTTCATACCAAGATTGGCTGGATAGCAGTCCGTCAATGCAAGAATGGTTTAGCGAGCTGTCGAGACTATCTGACACCACAACGCACCACACGCCGCGGACGAATCCGCTGCAAGCCTCTTGAAACCCAGTCGACCCATGTTAGGAAGCTGACCGTTTTGGGTGCGCTCGGCATGCTTGCGGACGAGTTGCTCCAAACCTTTCCCAGTGAACCTTGAGCGATACTGGACTTCACCGGCCCAACCGTCGATTTCGAAACTGTTCCCGCAAATGGCCACGATGTTAGTAGTCCCGGCTGTGTTTTAGTGCATCAAAGGACGATCAAGAAATACAAACCGATGGACGAGGGGCAGTCCATCGAACCAGTGCTCGAAGCTCATGGTTTGCATTATGCGGCCCGAGTAAAACTCGATGTCGAAAATACCAGGGCCGTTACGGTACAGGGCGCCCTTCAGCCACCTGAAGTCGTCGAAAAGCTCGTTGAACTCGAAATGAAGGATGATAGGGTCCTGGTGAAAAGCAACAACACTGCTTTCAGCAGCTGCCATCCTGGCGGGAGGCATGAGGGCAAAACTTACGGTGATCTCGGTTCCATTGGAAAAGCCAGTGATGTACGGAATGGTAGGATCGTAGCGTTGAGGAGAAACACACTAGCATTGAAAATCGCTTGGCCAGATGCTCCGTCATCGCCCGTCGAAAGATTTCGAATCATACCTGGGAGACATTCCAACTGGCGCTGGCCGCACTCATGTCACGGCCAGCGAAGGTGGCCATTTGTTCGCGGTATGTGCGAGCTAGCTGCTCGGTCTCGATGACCTTGTCATCGTCCGGGTAGAAGACTTCATCCTCCACTTCCACGCCTGCCTCCTTCAAAACCTGAGCACCGGCAGCGACGACATCAGCGGGAGGTTCGACGTCGACAGCTTCCGCACGGGCGAGGGCGGCTTGAGCGACTGCGACCGTGGCTGCCGGAGTTCCGGTACCCTCGACGATGTTGCTCTTGATCTCAACCGTCTCTTCCCTTGCGGCTGCCCGATGAGGGTAGCGATCGTGGTCTTGCTCGTCGGTGTACTGGTGGAAGCTGTTTGGCTCGAGAGCCTCCTCTTCGAATGCATGCACCTCGCCGACCTTGTCGGGAGCCACCGCTACGAGGACTTCTTCGTGGATGACTCCGAAGCCTGCGTCCACCTTGGGAGAGGGAGTCGTCGGTGGGGTTGCGGGGGACCTGTCGGTTGCGTGTTCAACGCTTTTTGACATATCGCGCGTGGTCGGCTATGACTTTGGAATCAAAAAGATGGCATCGGAAATCTATTAGCCATCATCATCAGACCCTTCTCGCACCGCCGCTGATCATGTTCATCGTACCTAGAAGTATGACTGCGTGCGTGAATCCGGTTCCGTAAGGCTGGTGAGTGCCGAAGGCAGAGTACTTTGCTTTTTGGTCGTCCCTCTCTCTTTCTGTCTCTCTCTCCCCCTCTCCTCTCCCTCTCTGTTTTTGGTCCGTCTTTGTCTCGCTTGTGACAGTATCACCGGCATTGGAAGCGCCGCCCGCAATTGACAGACGTCTGCAAGTTCGCAACCCTGTCGATTCCAAAAGGCACAACCGTAACCCTGTCATCCACAAGTGCATGAGATTATTTGGAGTCACAGCTGACAGCGTACGAGAGACTGGGAAAGATGGAGGAGAAGGAAACTGAACGGATCCCGCACCAATGACAACGGTTGGAGAGGCTTGCAACACTCAGAACAAAAACGAGACAAGTACGGGATAACCAGCTCAAAAGGCCAAAAACTATTCTGTGCTCCCGCTCAGGTTTGAACTGAGGACCTTCTCCGTGTAAAGGAGACATCATAACCACTAGACTACAGGAGCTTGTGTTTTCAGACATTGTGTGTACATATATGAAACGGAAAAAGTAATTGCGTCGTCCTTGACCGTTGGTCGTGTTTGGAGTAATCGTGCTAGAAGCATTGGTTTTTGAGGTGGATGAGCTCAGGGGAACCTAAACCAAAAGCATTTGCAAAGCTATACCGGGCGGCGTAGGAGGATATCCAAGTGTTATAGTAGGATAGTATCCCTGTGTATTCATCCTCAAACTGTCCCCAGAAAGCATCATTACTCGCTCCTCATGTCGGCAGCGCCGCGGGATGATGATGACCTTCGCCATTCTGTCCTCTAATAACATGCATGAACAAAGACCATCGAGACCCTCGCATGTTACACTTGTCTCGTTATCTTCGGCTCGGCTCTGCTGTTTGTCTGTAAGGTACGCCGTTAGCGTAACGGTCGCCGTGCTCAGACACAAGGCTTCTGTCCAAATTTGCGACGCCCGTTTGCCGCTGCCCGTTTGCCGCTGCGGCGTTGCTACAACAGGTACGGTCCTCGGTCAAGGCTTGCTGCATACAAGAACCAGCAGCTGAAGAAAGGGAAGGTCATACTCTATCATATATACAAAGAATGGAGTTCCTCCACAGCGAGCTACGAGGGTGCTCAACGAACCACCCGAACTACACCGAAGCAAAGCTCCCAGATGCCGTTACAGTTTACCCCTTCAACTCCGTGCTCGACATGTCGAGTCTCCTACACTGGGAAGAAGGAGATCGGAAACCCGATGCGGCCAAATGGGGCTACTTTGCACCGACGGATGCCTTTGGAGGATGGCTCGGCAAGGGCGGTTACGGGCTGTATCTGTGCGATAAGGGCTCACAAAAGAATCTTTCAATCTCCATGGCGTCTCTACTGCAAGCAAGCGCCCGGAAACTGGACATGTACGCGCGAGTGCTGCAAACTTCCTCCCGAGAACCCCTCTCGCATCTCGGCGGCAACAAAGTAACACAGTTAATGCGATAGTGCGACATCGCGCAATGCCATCATAAGAGCGACCAAGTCAACAAGATCAAAGCGGCGACATGGCCAAAAGATCCGGAGGGGTGTGTATAGCGCTTGGGCGAAAGCACTTGCAGCAAAGGCACCGCCAAACACTTTCGGTTTGGCTGCCGGAAATGACCCCGTCACAGGGCTCTAACCGCCTTGAGTAAGACGTCTATCACGTAAGGTTTTGTAATGACTTTTTTCCTGTCATCAGCACGAGCGAATACAAGGCCTGGTGACATCCCCACCGGCTTACCATCATCCATGCCTGCATCCATCGCTTCCTGGATCTGCTCCTTTCTCGCGTTTCCCGTGAGACACACGACCCTCGTGCGTCTCCGATAGAGACCGGCACTTTCACGAGATCTGATGTGTTTGATCGCTTCCAAGCCGCCCATACCGGCTGATCAGGAGGAGGGAGGAGGATTCAGCTATCCCGGATATGGCGCCCCAGGCTCGTGCGACCCCGTTCAGGGTAACGATGACCCACTTACGCATCTCCAGGTCCATCAGGATGCAATCGAACGGTCTTGCTTTCGCGAGGGACGCGTCGATGGCTGCCAAGGCCTCGATGCCGTTCTCGGCCGCTTCGGTGGTGAACTTTGCTTTCGTGAGCTGCCGTATCAAGACTTTCGAGTTCTATCAAGGCAGGTGCGATGAGAATTACAGAAAGAAAAACAGGATTGCTTGGATTTACGCCTACGATCAGGTTATCTTCCGTCACGAGAATGTGCATCGGACGTCCCTCGGTTGTGCTCGGTGATACCGGCGACGTGGGACTCGATGCATCATCTGGCGGCTTTGCCTGGATGGTTTTTATAAAGAACCGAAAGACTTCAACGGTGGTTGTGAGATTCAACCGGCGCATCCCAAGGACAATACTTTGGTGACTTACTACTGCCCTTTCCTTCCTCGCTAACAGCCTCGATCTCGCCTCCCAAAAGATTGCAGAGCAGCCTGGCGAAACGCAACATATACCGGCTCGTCAACACCGGCATCAAAGCTTTAGGAGAAGCAGAGAGGTTTGAACTTCTAACCGTGAAATGTAAAGTCCAAGGCCGGCACCCCCGGAACCTCTCACGTTGCTCTTGGCTTGCGTGAACTTTTGGAAGAGCATCGCCACATCCGACGCAGGCATTCCCGGTCCATTATCCGCTATGGCGCAGTAGAAGTACATCGGCGCGTCTATCGCCGGCGTTCCGCCGGCGTCCGACGGAACCAGCGCAGATCCTTGCTCATCTGGCGGACGAAGGGACACTTCGAGGTGGATCGATATGGCATTGTTCGTGAACTGCAGACTGTTCTGAAAAAGGTTCGTGATGATCTGACCGAGTCGGACGATGTCGACCGTAACATGGAGACTGTTCTTTTCTCGAAACCGTCTGTAAACAGGCCCGAAGATGACTCGTTTTTGCACGCCAGTGGTGCGTAGCTCTGGATCAAACATGGACAAGCTGCGACGGAGTTGGGGTGTGAGCCTCCGCAACTTCGCTTTGCGACCGCGAGCAATTCTTTGTACATCTGAGATACTTCCGAATGCAGACTGCAAGTCGTGGGATGGACTTCTAGACTGCCGAGATGTATCTTGGCGAGTGACAGTACTGCAGTCCAGCGGATCAGATAAAAACTTGTAAGGAAAATACTCAGTGCCGGAAGTCCGAGACGTACCGTCCTCGCATATCCGACCCTGGGCTGCCGATGACTTCATGATGCTCTGCATGCCGTCGATATCCTCCGCGAGCAGATTGAGAAGAGACTCGGTAGGCGAGAATGGTGTCTCAGAAACCACAGCCTTCTGCAGCTCATCGTAAAGCACTACAAATGCGGTCTGTTAAACCGTTGGCTTTTGGGGTCAGGAACCTTGGTTTGTGGAAGTTAAATAGATTCCTTTACATTGCATGTTCGCTCGGCAAAGTGAGGACAGCTGCAAGACGGCGGACACTGGATTTCGTAGCTAGTTGGATAATGGTAAGAGGCGTACCAAGCTGGGGCACTTTCTCTTTCGCGCTAGCAGTACCTCGTGGGATGTGGTGTCCATCAACAGTTCTAATGAACGCAGGTTGTTGAGAATCGATTCCTCCGATGAGCCATGTCTTTTACCCAATGAGCTGAGCCTACCTTGCTGCTGTCGGAGCTTCACGGCCTCGTCCCGAAGGGCTATGGCCTCCACCTCTCTCTGCTGACTCATCCGCAAGAGCTTCTCCTCAGCCTCCCACGACGCGGTCACGTCCGTGATGGCCGCCATGCACCAGGTAGCGGCATCTCGATCGGTCGTGTTCAAACGAGACTGGACATGGATGTAAAGGCCATGGACGAGCCTGATGGTGATGGATAGGTTGATGTTCTGCACGATGGCGTCCGTCCACGCTTCTATCATGACCTCCTTGTAGTCGGGATGGATGGCCTGGGTCCACTCCTCGGGAGCCTGGTCGGGTCTGAGCCGCATGATGGATCGCCAGGCGTCGTTGACCCAATGGATCGCGCCGTCCTTTCCGGCTCTCACTAGACCGACCTGGGACATTTCGGCGAGCACGGCCAGTTCGGTGGTACGCTGTTCCAGCTGGGCCAGGGCCGTCGTGGTCGTCATGTCCTCGACCGAGAGCTCGGAAAAGTTGGTCTCCATGGAGTGGTGCTTGAATTGGGCCTTGGACGCCAGGAAGGTCGCGTCGAGGGCTTGATCCAGCTGAGAGATTTCCGCAACCGAAGGTCTGGGGATACAAATGCATCAACACGGAAGTTCATTGCATCCCGAAACCTCTCATTCTTCTCTTGAGCCTAGCGTTACCTCGTCAGTGTCCCCAGATAGTGCGTGAGGGTCCCGCCAGCATCCCTGACGGAAGCTCTGTCACAAACGACCCAGTCGCTGTTGTGGCAACGGAATGCGAAGGCTCCTGACCTCTCGGATTCGATCAGCTTGCCGTAAGCCTTCAGGACATGGACGACGTCCTCTTTTTTGACCGCGTTGATCCAGTCCCTGGGATGCACTTCTGGCTTCAGGTTGAGACACTCCCTCCAAGCCGAGTTGCACCACACGATGGAGCGCCCGCTGTTGACGTCCCACTTTGCCATGGGCACAACGGCTGCTTCCGACTCGGCCATTGGAAAGCGGGCAGCCATTCTCCGCTACGCGCGAGACGAGGCGACACGCCTGCGAACGGGTGAGGACGTGGAGACACGCTGGAGCGACGACGAGAAAGAAAGTGACGGGAAAAGGTGACGGAGAGCGAGAATCCAAACGATCACGGTAAAGAGCCCCGGCGATCGGGCATACCGTGGTAACCTCCGCTTCCAGATCCACGGTTTTGGGATCACTGCCTCACCTTTCTCATGAGTCACAGAGAAACTGTCAGTGACACAGCCAGCGCAAGTGGGGCCCCCTCACGTTCCTTCCACATCGCCTCCTTCCCCCCAGCAGTGACAGGGTTGATGTGTACCAAGGCCAAGGGACGGATGGAGGGCCGACGGGGTTACAAGTGAGACCGCCGCCTCTGTTCCCCTCCTGGTTGTCCCTTCCTCTTCCTTGTTCGCGCCTCCTCCTCTTTTCATCTCTCTATACTGCCATATATCTTCCCTCTGGTGAACGAAGAGGAATCGAGATCAGGTCAAAGTCTTACTGCAGCAAGAGGACGCAAGAGAAAAAGATAGCACTTGCCTTCCTCACCACCGAGCATCTACCCGTTCCAGTCAAAGGTATCTGTCTGTCTTACTCGCACTACATGCTGCGGCAGTTGCTCCAAGTCGACAACCCTCACCTCCCTTGAGGTCTCTACCAGCTCCCACTCCGATTGCAAGCCTTTCCATCGTAGACCATTTCCTGAACGTGCGTTTCCACCTTTAGCAACTCCAGCAAAAGACGCTGACCACTTTCAGCGCCATGAGACATCGTACCAAGCCAGAACGAGAGGTACCATGTCGGTGCCGACTGACGAAGTGGGTCTTCCGGCCCAAACCGAAAGGAATCCTGGGTACGTCCTGTCGGAGAAAAGGGCGCGATCCATGTC